TGTTGGGCTGGCTGGCAGATGCTCCGACCATTGTGCTTGTTTTTGGTGTTGAAATAGCGCTCACCTCTTCACCTCTCTTGCCGAACAATAAATGTACACCTCGGGGGTTGTCGGTGGTTCCTGACTCTGCTTCTCTTCTGCAGGTGTAGATCTAGAAGAGGCTGGGAAGGAGGGTGGAAAAAGCAGGGAGGGTATGAGGTAGATCTAGAAGAGGCTGGAAAGGAGGGTGGAAAAAGCAGGGAGGTTATGAGGCTTAATAAAGAAGGTAAGTGGATAGTGCTGGAGCACACCTCTACCTGTCTTGTCTCTCGGTGTTTGTGGGTGACTGCGGTTTGGCCTGGGCAGGGTAGGCTAATAGCAGATGGATGTGTCTGCCATGAGGAATGTTTCGGGGTTGGGTACACGCAGGTGACTGTCACTGTGTCAAGTTCTCCCGAAGTACAAGTAGAACAGGTGTACGCGTGCGAGTGACAGGTGTGGTGAGAGATAAGGCAGTTCTGAGTCAAAAGACAACCACACATCAGTGGCCATGTTGGATCCTTTCGAGGACCCTGGCCCTGGGTGCAATGTTTTGGTCGCTTCTGTGTCAAGATAAGCATAGAAACCTGTGCATCAACTTCAAACGTTAGCATTAGTGACTGTAGAGGCAACGTTTTCACTTGTGGAGAGAGATGGTCTCTTACCATCTGTGAGTTCATCCACTTTAGGTCAAGTCTCATTCTTTCATTCTCACTGCTGAGTGTGACTTCAGAGTCAACCGAGTGGCCAACATCAAACATAACCTTACCTTAGACCAAGCCATATGCATATTATGCAAAAACAAATACAATGAGTCATTTGGGCCATCAGGTTTTCTGGTACTATCAGTGTGAACAGGCAAATTCCTGGCTAGTGGTACTGGCGTGCCTGGCAGAGTTCTGTCAGTTGCCAGAGGAGAAACTTCAGTGGTAAGCGTAGGCAAAGGAAATTTACATGTTTTGTTTGTGACGTGTGTCAGTAACACCACACTGGGGTAACACGCGGTGCAACTAGTGACAGGGTTTGGATGCATTTTCTTGTAGGTTTCTTGTTCGTTTCTGTTGTGTTAAGAAAGCAGTTTACATACACGACCTCTCTGTCATGAGAAACACTTCCTGTGAAGTCAGTTCATAATGAACCATCCCATCAAAGTGAAACTTCAGTGCGACTTACTCATGCTGAGAGAAATCCTTCTCTTACCTGTAATGTCCCAATATACATTCTGAAATGATGCTGAGCTTCTCGTTAGGTTGTAGTTGTCATTACACACGCGTTCAGTTTCGAGCAGCTTGGCAGCTTAAAGGAATCTTATGTTTTCTAAACAAGCTCTCGAAAAAAGAATGAATTAATCAGCGATGCAGATTGGTGTGATAAGCTATAAAATTGCATGGAGTGCACATTAAATAAAATTCTTTAAAATACTGTAAAACTTCCCTTTTGAAAGACTTTCATAGAGATGCCAAGCTTGATTGTCTTCCTGTCTCGAATCTTACATGCCTGAGCCTCTCTGTTTTGCCAGCCTCGAGATAAGTTAGTGGTAGAACTGGGATTTTCATATGTAGTACATTTATAGGTAAAAGGTTCAAGGTTCAAACAGTTTGTACAGCTATCAGTAATGCTGTTATTATAATGATTATTATAAAAATAATCAAGTAAAAATCTTGCTACTTCAGCTTGGCCTTCTTAAGCAGCTTAATTTGTTGAGATAAAATGTTTTGTGCCCAGAAATCCTTGAACACAAATCGTTATTTTAAGCTTAATTGAGGCGTAAACACATAGTGTTCCTACTCCTTAGTCATACGTAACATGCAAATTGTTTCCTAGGACAATTCAGTTTAGATTATTGGTTCTAGCCTCTCATTGTGTGTTTGTTTGGAGGGGTTAGAGGCTCCCCCAAATGAGCTCTATTTCAACTCAGTATCCAGAAAATGTTTTCCAAACAAAGTGTAATGTTGTGGCTGACACGGTGATGGTGGCAGGTGTGTAGCACTTACTAACTTTCATAGTACTTGTGTCAGAAAGCAGTTTGTAAAAACACACCTGACTGTTCTATTCAGTAAATAAAAAGCTTTAGGAATTTCATTGCTTCCAAGTAGTAACTCTTGTAGATCACTTAGAAAGTACTTTCATGAAGTTTGAATAAATTAGTATGTGTTGAAATATTTCTACTACACTCACTTAAGCAGTCTGTTCATACAGGTGTTTTCACCACACCCATCTGTGTGTCTGAACACCCACTCTCAGTCTTCCTTGGGCCTCACCATCCCTATTAATATAGGTGGGGAAAAATGTGAAGAGTTAGGTTGGTCTGCAGGAAACATTGCTCCTGTTCTTGCAGAAATGCTGTGCCCTTACTCTGCTCTCGCACACATCTGTCGTGTGACGTGCTGGATTTTGTTGCTTTGTTCATAGACAAGGGTCGTGGTCATGGTAGGGCTGAATACCAAACCCACTCCTTTTTCTCTACTGTTTGAGTAGTCTTTTTTATGGCACCTGTGGTGCCAGGACATTGTAAGTGTCTTAGAAAGATCAAACTTTAGTTGTAAGGAGTAGTTGGGGACAATGGACAGGCAGGATTTTAAGTACCAAAAATGACTCTCCTGTTTGATTAAAGGCAGGGTAAAATCTGATTTCTCTTCATTTACTTCTTGATGCATTTGTCTGCGTTTTGTCATCTTTAGTTGATAGAACAAGATTTATGTGGCCATTCCTTTGTAAGCAAGGAGCCTCTTTAGGCTAGTGAAGCTGTGTGCAGAGCATGGTGGGGGGAAGGGGTGGGAAGACTGTGGTCTCTTTAGACCACGACAAGGTGTTCCACTTGGGTTTTGTAGAAGTAAGTGTTGTCAGGTGACAAAAAGTGCCTCCAGCTAGCTTCATCCCTGCCTTTCTGTCTCCTTTCTGGCAGTATACTCTGTGTTTAGAGTGGTGGGCTGCTCTTCCTCCTCCCTTTGGCCCAGGTGGAGACCTGGGAGCAGCATTCCCTGGTGGTAGTGGGTAGAAACACTGCCAAGTCTCCACCATCCCAAGGAATTGATACTTGTTAGCACATCCCTGGGCAAAGGGGTCACTGGCTGGCTATGCTGCTCGTTTCTGTTATGCAGGAGATGAACTGAGGCTGTGTGCCCCTGTGCCCTGTCTTAAGGGTAAAAGTAAAGACATGGAAATGCTGCTCACTGCTTTCCTTTATTCTGCAGTGTCTATGTAGGCAGCACAGAGGGAGAGAAATTTCCTGAACGTTTGTTCAGTTTTGTAGACAGAATTGCTTTTTGCATGCTAATACTTACTCTGAGTTTTCCTTCAGCCAATGTAGTCTGTCCATGCTTGACTTTTACTGCCATGTAGATTTGTGGAGAGGGGATTACAAAGTTGCAAGTGTTCACAGAAAATGAGAAATTTTATGCATAAATGTTTGTGCCAGAAAAAAAACTTATCTGCTTATCTAATCAGGAAACAGACACAGTATTGTGTAACTTATCTGACAAATCACTACCAAGCAACCAGCTTAGCTAAAAGAGGGGTTATCAGAATTGGAGCAGCATTTAGAATTTATATTGAATTTTAAAAAGTTGAATGGCATAGTTGAAGAAATGAAGATTTTCTTGTAAGATAGCATTGCATGGCAAAAGGAGCCTATATTTGTTTGAGCATTTGTGTCCTGTGGAACGCCACAGTAACAGTATGCCTGAGGCAGATACCGTGTTCTGTTATTATCAGTCATAACTTGTAACTGATTGTAGATTAATTCTGGAGGCATCTGTTTTGCTCTATGCAATATTTAAGAAAATAGTGGAAGAATGGGATTTTTTTGGTTTTACATTCAGAGCTTGTATTAATAATTGGTTTAATAAATGTGCAAGCATGAAGTGCTGTGAGTGTTTTCTAGGTAGGCACAGTCTGTAAAGGAGCAAGAGATGTCCTGTGTATCCTTGTGAACTACAGCATGGGATTTAGGTTTATATCTGGGCAACTTCAGTTTCCCAGTTCAGTGGGTTTGTGTTACTGAGGTTTCAACCTGATGATGTGTGTGTTTTGTTTTAGAAGATCTTTTCACTAACCATACTGATTCATTGCTGTTTGACGTTAAGGGTGTTACGTAGAAAATTCCAACCTGTTTTTTTGGTGTTGTGTTAAAATTAGAGATTTTCTGTTGTTGCTGCACCACCTCAAACTCGACCATTTTACCTCATGGTTGCACATGCAAACTGGGGGTTTAATTCTATTGGATAGTTGTTTCAAGGAGATTTTTCCTATTTGGATTTCCCACACAAATACCCTATGGGAAGATTCTTGATAAATCCTTTGGCAACATCGGGACAAAACGCAAGGGATACCAAATAGTTTTGCTTTCAGTGTCTATTTAATTCTTCAGAAAAATATCTTGATGATTTGATCATTCTTTGTGGAAAAGTAAGATGTTAAAGAGGTTAGGTGGTGGTAGGGTACACTTCTACAGGCAAAAAAGGGTGTGACATACAACATTCTACTTTGTGAAAAGCAGAAAGAAAATAAAAATTATTTACAGGGAGATAGTGAAAGAAGAGAAGACGACAAAATCAGCTGGTTAATGTGAGCATAGGGATTGGAGTTGATTTTCATGTAATTATTATTTATTTTTTTGTTTGTTAGTGGTTTGCCAGTGGTGCTGTTTATCTCCTTTAAAAACATTCTTGTTCTTCTTAGCCGCCTTCATCTTTCACCATTTTGTGGTAGTAGGCAATGTTGGAAAGGGCTGAGAGGGAAAGGCAATTACAAGTAGGTTTTAAACGCTTACCCCAAAAGCAAGAGGTGAGGTTATTGAGTTTAGACCACCTTAGCTGGTGATTTGGGGGTTTTGGTTTTGCAGTGGGCAGAAGAGAGGGTTGAATGTTGTATTTTTTCAGTCTCTCCCCTGTAAGCTATTAAGGTCTTCCAGAGATTCTGGTTCTTAAAACAGACATAATATTCTGGTGGAGCTTGACGAGTGAAAGAACTGAGAATCGGCAAGGCACAAAACTGTGGCTGTTTTCCAGAGAAACTTTTTCTTACCATTCTTATCTTAATTACGCTGGGAATAAGAACAGTGAGCAAAGGTCCCCATGGGGGTTTTCTTTAGGATAAGAAATGACAGTGGGATTGAATTCTGGAGCGTGTTCGGGTGTGGAAGTGCCTGATCAGTTCAGTCTCTGATATCTGACTGATACTTATTTTTTTTCACGTGGACAGCTTCTGCAGGGGGTGGCGTGGCTCCTGGTTATGGCTGTCACCTCA